TAGGGTTTTAGAATTAGTATTAGGCTCAGGTTTATGGTTAGTGGTAGGTTAGGTTAGGTTTAGCGTAGGGGTTAAGTTTTAGACTAGTGTTAGGGTTAGGGTAATAGTTATGGTTAGGTTTATAATTAAGATTAGGTTCAGAGGTAGGTTTAAAGTTAAAGTTAGTTTTAAGGTTAGGGTTAGTGTTAGGTTTAGGGTTAGAATTTGAATTTAGGAATTTAGGGTTAGGGTTTGGTTTAGGGTTACAATTAGGATTAGAATTAGAGAACAGTGTAAAGGGTAGATGTAAGAATAGAGTTGAAGTTAAAGTTAGAGTAGGGTTAGGTTTAGGTATGGCTTTAGGGTTAAAGTTAAGTTTAGTTTAGGGTTTGGTTTAGAAATAGGGTTAGTATAATGTTATGGTTAGATTAAAGTTAGGGTTGGGTTTTGTGTTAGGATTAGTGCTAGACTTAGGCTGAAGGTTAAAGTTACCATTATAGGTTACAGTTAGGCTTAGTGGGTGAGGTAGCATTAGGTTTAGTGTAGGATAATGTTTGGGATTAGGATTTGAGTTAAGTTTGAGGTTGAAATTAAGGTTAGGGTTTTAAGTTACATATGGGGTTAGGGTTAAGTTTAGGGTTAGGATCGCCAAAGATTTGTGGTACTCTAGGAATGATGGGACACCGAAATCCTCCAAGGACACCAGGGTTCCCAAAGGACCCTTGGATCCACCAAGGAAATGAGGGTTCACCAGGGATATAAGGGTTCCCCCTAGGACACTTGGATTCACCAAGGACTCTAGGATCCATCAGGGACACCAGGATACAATAGGGTAAGTGGGGACCTGCAGGGACACAGGAGTCAACCAGGGACACTTGGGTCCTCCAGAGACACCTGGATCCACCAAGGACACCAGGATCCTTAAGAACACTGGGCTCTTTCAGGAACACCAGAGTCCTCCAGAGCCACCAGTAGTGAGGAAACTCAGGAACCACTAGGGACAAGGAGATCTTCCAGGGACACTGGTATCTTCCAGGGATAATGGTATCCACCAGGGATGACTGCATTTACCAAGGACACTGTGATCCACAGGAACACCAGGATCTTCCAGGGACACTTAGATCCATGAGGGAGAACATGTTCCAGTAGAAATACCAAGGTCCTCCAATAGCAGTAGATCCATTTGACACACTGGGATGCACAAGAAACACAGTGGTGTCCAAAGACACTAAGTTCCATCAGAAATACCATGATCCATCAAATACTGGGTTCACCAGATAATTCAGGATCCTCCAGGGACACTCGGATCTACCAGGAACACTGAGAACCATAATGAACACCAGAATTTTCCTGAGACAATAGGGTCTCCGAAGGATACCATGATCCTCCAGTGCCACTGTGGTTCTCTTGGGACACTCGGATTCTCCAGGGACACCAGAGGTTAACCAGGGACACAGGGGTCCACCCGGAACATGGGGTCTTCCAGGGACACCTAGAACCAAAAAGGACATTGGGATTAACAGTGACACATGGATCCATCAAAAACATTGAGATGCACCAAAACACATGTATTCACCAGGGACACCTGGGTTCTCTATGGACATTTGGATCCATCACAGACACCAGTGTCACCAGGACATAGGTTTCCACTAAGGAAACTAGGATCCATAAGGGACACTGGCTCCACAAAGATACTGGGATCCACCATGGACACTGGGGTCCTCCATGAACACCAAAATCTACCAAGGACAACTGGATTCATCAAGGATACCAGGGTCCACCTGGGACATTGTGATCAACCTGGAACACCAAAATACACCAGGGTTATCAGGGTCTACCAGGGACACCATAGCCTAAAAGGATACCAGGATCCACCAGGGACACATGGATCAGTCAGGAACAACAAGATCCACTAGGGACACTGCAGTCTTCCAGAGACATTTGGGTCAATAAGGAACACCAAGATCTACCAGGGACACTAGGATACACCAAGGACAGAGTTCCACTAGAGACATTGAGGGCCACAATGGTCATAGGGGTTAATCAGGAACACTGGAATTCTTTGAGGACACCATGGTCCACCAGAGAACCCAGGGTACTCCAGTGACACTTAGATCAACCAGAGATACTGGGGATAACCAGGGATATTAGGGATACCACAGCCCTCCAGTGTCACTTGAGTCCATCAGGGACACCTGTATCAACAAAGGAAATCAGAGTGGTCCAGGTACATGTGGATTTGCCAGGGACACTGGAGTTCACCAGGGACACTGGGGCCTACCAGGGACACTTGTATTCACCAGGGACACCAGGACCCGCCAGGGATACTATGGTTCTCCAGGAACAATGGTGTCTTCCAGGGAGTCTTAAATTCTCCAGGGACAATAGGGTCCTCCAGGTTTGCCAGGTTAAAATTTCACCAAGATCCACCAAGGACATGAGAATCCAACAGGAACACTGGGTTCCGCAGGGATACATGGATACATTCTACAATATACAAAGGACATTTAGTTCCTCCAAAGACACTGGTATCCTGCTAGGGCCCCAGGGTCCACCAGAAACACTGCTGTCCACAAGGGACTTCCGGCTCTACCAAGGACAACATGATCCACCTTGGACACTTGAATCCACCAAGACACTGGGTTCCACTAGGACACTGAGGTCATCCAGGGATACTATGGTCCACCAAGGATACTAGGTTCCTCCAGGACCCTTGGATCCACCAAGGACATCAAGTTCTGCCAGGGCCTTCCAGGGCATTGAGTTCTCTCATGGACATCACAGTTTACCAGAAACAATACAGTGCTCTAGAACTCCTGGATTCACCACGAACACAATTATCTACCAGGGACACTTGAATCCACAAGAAAAACTGGATTCCACCAGGACATTTGGTCATCCAAGAACACTGGGGTTCACAAGGGACAGCAGGATCCACTAGAGACACCAGGTCCTCGGTGGACACTTGAATCCACCAGGGACAAAATGGTCCACTAAAACCACAATAGCCCACCAGGGTTACATGCACCCAGCAGAGACACTGGGATTGATCAGGGACACCAGAATCTTTTAGGGACACTGGGGTCTCTTAGGGGGCACTGAGGTTCTTCAGGGACACTTGGATTGTCCAAGGACAATGGTGTCTTCCAGGGTGTTATGGAGATGGTTTGGAAGAAGAGTCAGATTCTGGAAATGTTTAACTAAGATGGATAAGGGAGAGGAGAAACGGCAATGCTAGCATCCCCCACCCCTGTCTCCATGGCTTTTATTCAGTTTCTCGCAATGCTGGCTTTGTAATTTCTAAATAGTTACTATCAGGTTAGTAAATACAAGCTACAGCCAACTCCCAGATTCAGCCTCAAGGCCACTCCCGTGTTCTCAGCCATTTCTTCCCAAGTATCTTTTTTTAGTCCCTAGAGCAAGAAGTCCCAGAATCAGTCGGGCATGTGCCAGGCCACATCTGCTTCTGATGTCCTTGTTGCTCCAAGCACCAGGGATCCTGCCAGGACTGCAGGTGTCTCTTACAACACAGGGACAACAGGTTGCCAGGGATACCAGGATCCTCAGGGACACTGGGATTTACCAGAAACACTGGGATCCTTCAGGCTCAACTAGATCCAAAAGGAACACCAAAATCTACCTGTGACATTAAATCCACCAGGGAATCCACATTCTTCCAGGGACACTGGGAACCTCAAGAGTCACCTGGGTTCTCCTGAAATCCCAGGATCCAACAGGGATGCTAGAGTCCTTCAGGGACACCAAGTTCACCAGGGATACCTGGATTTACCAGATACACCAGGGTCTACCATGGACACAAGGGACCTCCAGGTCTGTCAGGTTGCGAAGGACATGGGATCCATCAGGGACACTAAGATCCAAAAGAAACACTAAGATCCACCAGGGAAACCAGGACCCATAAGGGGTATCTAGTCACCCTCTTTGGAAGTTTAAGCCATTCATTCTATGGTTATTTTATTATGATAGCTTGAGCTAAGGCACCAAAGTTATACTAGCCCAAGGCCTGGGAGGGACCTAAGCCAGAGGATACACTATAGCAGAGCACATAAAACTCTTTAGAATTGTGCACAACATTTTTGCAACAACACTGCAAGTTGCAAATCAATAGATTGGACTTACTCCATTCTCCGAAGAAGTCCACCTGGGTCTCTTTAATAAAGAGGATGATATAAGGTATTCAGGATTTCAAGGTATTTGACTTATTTCAAGGAGGCATTGAATGCTCAAACATTTAATGGGAAAAATATAGTGATTACATTTGTACCCCAGGTGGGTCCTGTTACCCTAGCTTTATGACTAGCTAGCCAGTCACCCGACTAGCTTCTTTTTTGACGGTAGGGTTGGCATCTGTGAAATGAGATGTATCTTGCCAGTCAGTCAGTAATCATATCTACGGAGCCAGGATTAGTGTTAGCTGATTTCCGTACATCCTTACCTTACCCAAAGTATGCTACTGTCTCCATTTTACAGATGAGGGTAGTGATTTTGAGTAATCAGTTCACTTTCACCATGTTGGTACCGTAGCTCTGGACTGTAACAGAAATCAGCATGTTTCCTAAGGCTGCCCTTCCCACGCATCCCACAGCCCAGGCAAGCTCTCCTTGAGCTTCTCTCCAGATTTTGGCGAGGAACAGAATATCATATAGTGCATCGGCACTTCCACAGTTCAGGATTCCAGAAGGGAGGGGGGGAAGGGGGGGGCTCTCTTTACACGTCAGAACGTTCCCACATATATACTTGACAGAAACATCAGGAATCATTTGTTCGGCGGTTTGGCGCCAAACCATTACCAGAGTTGCTGCCACTGCCAAAACTCCTCATATCTAAGACTACGGGTTCGCCAACTCTTCTCTATTTCACTAAGAAAAAAAGGGGGATCCGGACCCTTGGAAATGACGTACTTCCGGCGCCCTGAGAAGCCCTCTCGCCACGCCTGCGAGCAGGAGTGGAGGCTGGGTCTGAGGTGGGCGGGGCGCTGCTGTAGGCTTTCCGGTGCTGTCCCAGCGCTCGAGGAGTGGGAGGTCCCGCCTCCTGATCGCCGCGCACCACTCGCAGACGCTGCCGGTAGCTGGGACTGGACACATTCGCAGCTGCTCTCTTCGCCTCGTCCCCTCCCCGCTTCATCCTCGGTCCCCCGACCCGCAGGCCGTTGCGGGCCGCGGAGCCCATGAGGGCGTGGATCCCGCCGCCGCTTCTGCGGCGTCGCGGTTGTCGCATAGTTCCCCTAGGCGGCGCGGGCAGGGCCGCAGCATGAGCGCAGAGCCGGAGGAGAAGGCGGCATTGGAGCCCGAGGCCGGAGCCATGCCAGAGAAGCGCGCGGGCTCGCAGGCCGCGGGCGGCAGCTCGGTGAGCACGGGCGGGGATCCGGCAGCGTTGTTCAGCTCGAGGCTCTTAGTCAAGGGAGGTTGGGTGGGGTCGCGGTTAGAATCCGAGGCAGCCTCGGAGCGGTGCCCGGACTCGCCTCCGGGGATAGGGGAGACGCTGACCGTGCGCGTCGGCTCTGGGCAGTCTCCGGCTCTTGGAAGCCTGTCATTTTCTGAGTGAGCCTGCCGAATTCATCACTAGGCTTTTCTAGCGCCGCTCATCGCTAGACAAACTAAGTGGTTTGGTTGTTTCAACAGGCGCCAAACTCGGGACCATGAGTATAAGCAATTTGTTCTCTCAGAATTTGTCATTCATGAGACAGTCGCTGCCATTTTCGCGGTTCAATTTCTGGCCAAGCCTATTTAGAAGATGTGTGGGGCGCCTTTAGAACCGGCGTTCGGACCTCAACAGGGAAGTTGGCGGTAGAGGCTGGGTAACGCCTCCCTCCCTGTTAGGTCCTCGTTTTCTAAGCGGTCACAGGAGCGGTTGGGGAATAGGATTTCAGAGGAAGCTGCGGGTCCCAGGGTCCGGCTGAGGAGCATGTTCAGGCCGATCTCTTTTTCCAGTCTGAAGCCCTATTTAATTAGCCTGGATTCGGCAGAACAGGTTTTGTCAGTGGCCCTGTGGTTTCTTATGGTGAAATTCTAAGCATGAGTGTCATTTCTTCAAGACCTTTTTCTATGTGTGTGTCTATTTAGGACAGGAAATATAGAAACGTGACAATGACTAGAAACTCTAACACCAGGCAAACGTTTCTCCAAAGAAAATAGAAATTTTAGGGAAATTAAATATATGCAGTCAGCTTCAAACTTTTAGCTTACATATCTAAATTTGCTTTCAAAGAATGCTAATTGATTATATTTGGTGATGTGAGTCTCATTAGTAGAATTCGGAGGACAAGTAAAGTAGGAGTCATAGAAGAAATGGAGCCAGCAGAGCTGGTTTCTATTCCTCTGGTTCTACCAGAGCCAGTGTGCACCAGGCAGGGTACTGACAGCCTTGCCACTCAATACCTAATTTGTAAAAAGAGGGCTAGGTAACGTTGAAGTCCCCTCCCTGCCCAAGTGACTTCTATTTTTTGAAAAAACACTTGAGGTCCTTATTTCAAAGATAAGATTTCTGGAAAGTGGGAAATTTATCTTGGTAGGGGGAGGAATAGTCTATAAAATTAGTTTTTATTGTTTTATTTCTGATTATGTAAAAGTAGACTTGTCATCTTCCTGCCCCCTAAACAAAACCAAATTGCCAGCTCTTCCTTTTTTGAATTGATGGGCAGTAATCACTAACCAATGGCCAAGCTAGTAACCTGAGCAGTAGCCTCCTTCACCCCTTCTCATACCTACAACGTTCAACATGTTACTAAGTCTAGCTAAGTTTACCAGGTAAAGATTAAGGTTTTATCCTCTCCTCTGCATTCTTGTGGTTCAGTTCCTCAGCATATTTGACCTAGTTTTTCACCTCTCTTGAGACTTGCTTTCCTCACCATCAGTCTGCCCTCTACAGTGTGTATTAGTGTGATCTAACATGTAAATATGATTATTACTGCTGTCTTTAATTTTTTCCATTGGCATCCCTTGGCTTACAGGATAGGAAATAACCTGGCAGGTTAAAGCACTATAGCATAGTGATTAGATGAACATGCTTGGAATCCCAGTTTCCACCTTTTATTACCTGTATAACTTTGGACAAATTAATAATAGTGTTTACCTCAGAGGATTGTGAAGGTTACTGCAACCTGGCATCTAGTAAGTCCTCAATAAATATTAAGTGTTATTCTTATTTCTCAATATTTTTGGCATGAATGATTGTTCAATGTATAGGTGATCCCTTACTGACGAAAGTATTCATTTCTTCCCCATTTACTAATCTATACAGGAAGTAGAACACCACCTAAAAATTAAAATTGTGCATTTTATATGCTTAGAGTAGGAACTTTTGAGGGATGTGTACTCGAAGAAACCTAGACAGTTTATTCCCGAATTCCTTTTGTGGATTCTGATGCTAATTTGGGCACAAGTAGATTTCCTGCCCAATCTTACCTTGTCTCTGAAGGTGCATAAAATTAGTATTAATAAAATACATATGAATACTGAAAATGAGTTTTATTGGTATTTGCTGTACTTAGGGAGATGACTAGCATGAGCAAATGGCAGAGTCCAGTCACTGGTGCTAGCTATCTGGAATATATGTGAAAGCAGTGAACATCTTTAGTCTTATATGTTTATGTCATATGCCAGTACCCCCAAATTATACATCTTTTCTTCTTGCAGTTTCTGTGTCTTACCACTTCTGGGTGCTATTTTGTAGAGCCCAGGACTAGATTTTATTTTAATGTGTTGGAATTTCCTTATAGCTTGATTTCATGGTTTCAGGTTCTTTGATGCTACTAATAATCTAGGAGAGGACTGCTCATGTACAGGGCTGACAACTTTTTTCTACTTTGTTTGACAAAGAGATGTATTGACCTGAATAATAGAAGGGAAAAGGTATTATCTTCTAGAAAGGGGAAATGTTAATTAATATTTTATGTGATGCAACGTATGGATGGGAGTTCTTTTTTTGTATAAAGATAACCAATTATTGCATAATTTTTCGAATACTTTTTTTAGTCACCGAATTGCTTTTGTAGCTTTGTCAAAATTCAGTTATTCATATATGTGTCAGTCTATTCTGGATTCTCTATTATGTTTCATTGATCTGTTTATCTTTTATATCAGTACCACTCAATCTCCATTATTGGAGGTTCATAATAAGACCTAAAATAAGTAGAGCTAGTTCTACAACCTTGATTTTTCTTAAAATTGTTTAGGCTATTCTAGGTCCTTTGCATTTTAGAATTATAGAATCAGCTTATCAATTTCTACAAAAAAAAGCCTTCTGGTATTTTCAATGGAATTCTGTTGACCCTGAAGATCAGTTTGGAAAGAATTGAAAACAATATTGAGTCTTGTGATCCATGGATGAGGTAGCTCTCATTTATTCTAGATCTTTAATTTCTCTTACCTGTGTTTTATAATTTTCATTGTGCAAGAATGCACAAAGAATTGCTTTCCTCACCATCAGTCTGCCCTCTACAGTGTGTATTAGTCACATCATTTGTCAGATTATTCTCTATTTCATATTTCTTGATTTTGTTATACATGTAATAGCAATGTAATATAAATGTAAGTTCTTTAAAAAATTAAATTCACAATTGTTTGTTGCCAATATATGGAGATATAGTAGATTTAGGATATATTTTTAATTGCTATGTAATACATGTAACAAAGTTTACCATTTTAACCGGTTTTAAGTGTACAATTCATTAGTGTTAAGTATATTCACATTGTTGTACAACCAATTTCCAGAACTTTTTCATCTCGTAAAACTGAAACTGTATCTGTTAAACAGCTACCCCCAATTTACCCCATCCCCAATCCCATAGTAACCACCATTCTGCTTTCAGTTTCTGAGGCTGACTACTCTAGATACCTTATATAAGTGAAATCATATACTCTTTGTCTTTTTGTGACTGGTTTATTTCACTTAGACATGATATCATCTAGTTGTTGATATATTTTTTCTTCAAGGCTGTTGAAGGCATATTTGGCATGTGTCAAAATTGCATTCATTTTTGATTGAATATTTCATTTTATATGCCTCATTTTTCCCCCCTTTATCTGTTGATTAGCACTTGGGTTGCTTCTGTCTTTTGGCTATTGTGAATAATGCTGCTGGCACATGAGCGTACAGTTATCTCTTTGAGAACCTACTTTCAATTCTTTTGTATATCTATCCAGAAATGGAATTGTGGGATCGCTGGGTAATTCTAGTTTTAATTATTTGAGGAACTACCATACCATTTCCCATAACTGCTGCACCATTTTACATTCCCATAGTGCACAGAGTTCTAATTTCTCCACATCCTCATCAGCCTTGTTATTTTCTGTTGTTTTGTTTTTGTTCTGGAAAGTACCCATCCTGGTAGGTATGAGGTATCTTGTGGTTTTGATTTTGCAGTCATCTAATAATTAGTGATGTTGAGCATCTTTCATATATTTGTTGGCCATTTATATATCTTTTTTGGAGAAATGTCTATTCAAGTCTTTCGCCCATTTTAAATGGGGTTATTGGGTTTTTTGTAGTTGAGTTGTAAAAGTTCCTTATATATTCTGGATATTAGCTTCTTATCAAATACATGCTTTACAAATGTTTTCTCCACAGGTGGCTTTTCACTCTGTTGACTGTGTCCTTTAATGCACAGAAGTTTTAAATTTTCATAAAGTCTAATTTAAAGTTCGTAATTTTTATGAAGGCAATATCTGCTTTTTCTTTTGTTGTTTATAGTTTTGGAGTCATGTCAAAGAATCTATAACTAAATCCAAGATTTACCTCTGTTTTTTCTTCTAGGAGTTTTATGGCTTTAGCTGAGGTTATTCATCCATTTTGAGTTAATTTTTGTATATGGTTTTAGATAGGGTTCTAACTTCATTCTTTATATGTGGAAATTCAGTTGTCTCAGCACTGTTTTTTAAAGAGACTGTTCTTTCTCTCATTGAATGGATTTGGCACTATAGCCAAAAATCAGTTGGACACACATATATGGGTTTATATGTGGACTCTGAATTCTATTCAGTTGGTGTATATGACAGCCTCTCTCTCTTTTGCTTCCATATTGTCAAGTCACTGATGTTTACGGGGTACTGTGATCTTTGAATTCAGGAACATGTGTGGGACAAATGGGAGTAACTTTCAACCTTATCTTTTTCCAGTTGACAGCAGATGACCTGATTGGCAAATGCCATATGCTCTATTTCGTCTGAACTTTTCAGATCATGTTGAGAAAGCAGGTGTGTGGGTTGGTAGAGACTGTCATTTTGCTCAGGTACACACTGGCCAAGTTAGTCTCCTCAGTATGGGGAAAGGGATGGATGAGTGAGTAAGTAAAGGTCTGCACTTTACTTTGATTGAGGATCTGTCTACAGTTGACTCCTGTTATCTCT